AAGAGTAAATGTATTATTCTTTTTGAAACGGTTAAAAAAAAGTGTGACACATAAATTGAAACTGATAAAAGTAATAAACAAAGTGCTTTGTTAATTTGGTTGACTTAATATATAATAAGATGGAATATTCAAAATATAGATAATGGTGTGCATTTTAAGCTCTCTTATCATAGACAAATTCAAAGACTACTACTATATGCTAATACTCAAATGAAAAAAATTGCAAAGATAGTTATTAATGTCATGCATAACTTAAAATAGTAAGATTGTTGACATGATATAATGGCATATCCCCATATTATTCCGGAGATTATTCTATCTATGTCTGAAATGGTATTAGTTAATTAAACCTTATAAGTAGTTGAAATTTTCCCTAAGTTTAACACATTAATTTTCCAAAAGTCACAAAAATTAAGTGCACAATCTTCTAAAGAAGAAGAAGAAGAAGGTAACTTAAATCATAAATGTAGTTTTTAAAGTTGATACATTAGAATTTTCTTTTGAATTTTAGCTAGTTCATATAGTAAATGACATTTCTATTTAAGTTACATTATTTCCATATTAGTTTGTTTCAGAAAAAAACAATACATTTTTATATTTATAAATCATTTAGCTTTAGACTTTTTGTTTTACCAATCATGAGAAACTTTTATACTCACACAAATATTACGACATGTTCAATATCACAAAGTCTTTCTTCCAACCTTAAACCTTGTTTCCATTAAATGTGAAATTTTGATGTCCAAGTAAGTGAAAATTTTACCAAAAAAAAAATTTTGAAACGTTACATAATTATATAATGCACCATTCGAGAATCAAAGACCTAGATTTACCGCGATAAGATAAATTTCTACCACTAGACCATTGCTGCTTGCTAATTTAACACTATGATTTGATTTTTTATTTCTACTCTTTAAATTCACTATATATATTTTTTAGAAAAATTAAGGCTAAAATCGACTTTTTTTGTTCGATTTTGGGTCTTTTCTTAATAGTCATGTTCTAATTTTTTATGGTTAATTTAATTCCTTTAATTAATTTTGTATCTTCAAATGCAGATAATTTTGCACTATTGGCACAAGAAGCAATTTTAGGCATTATGGCTGTGGAGGATAATAATCTAAAAGTGCTTAATGCACTTGATTTGGCGAAAACTCAACTTTACCATTTTACAGCAATTGTTATTGCTGGAATGGGATTTTTTACTGATGCTTATGATCTCTTTAGTATTTCTCTTGTCACTAAATTGCTTGGCCGTTTATACTACACCAAACCGGATCTTTTGAAACCCGGAACACTCCCTCCGGCCGTCTCGGCCTCCGTCACGGGTGTCGCTCTTGTTGGCACCCTAGTCGGCCAGCTGTTCTTCGGCTGGCTAGGCGACAAAATGGGACGAAAAAAGGTCTATGGTATGACTTTAGTTATCATGGTCGTGTGTTCCGTTGCTTCAGGGCTCTCCTTAGGTAATACCCCTAAGGGTGTTATGACCACACTATGTTTTTTTAGGTTTTGGCTTGGATTTGGCATTGGTGGCGATTACCCTTTATCCGCCACGATCATGTCTGAATACGCTAACAAGAAAACACGTGGTGCATTCATAGCTGCGGTTTTCGCTATGCAAGGGTTTGGAATTTTGTTCAGTGGGATAGTTGCACTTATCACAGCAGCTGGATTCGATCACGCGTATAAGTCCCCGACTTTCCAGGAAAATGCTGCTCTATCCACTGTGCCACAAGCCGATTACATTTGGCGTATAATTCTCATGTTTGGATCATTGCCAGCTGCCCTCACTTACTACTGGCGCATGAAAATGCCCGAAACAGCTCGTTACACGGCTCTAGTCGCGAAAGACGCGAAAAGAGCAGCGCAGGACATGGGGAGGGTACTACAAGTTGAAATTGAAAGCGAGGAAGCAAAAATCGAACAAATTTCTAGGGATGAAACTAATCAATTCGGTCTGTTTTCATGGGAATTCGTTAGACGCCATGGATTGCACCTATTCGGAACGTGTTCCACATGGTTTTTATTAGATATTGCTTTCTACAGTCAGAATTTGTTCCAGAAAGACGTGTTCTCCGCTGTTGGATGGATCCCTAAAGCCCCAACAATGAATGCTGTTCAGGAAGTATACAAAATTGCCAGAGCGCAAACATTAATTGCGCTCTGTAGCACGGTGCCAGGGTACTGGTTCACCGTGGCATTTATTGACATTATTGGAAGGTTCGCGATCCAATTGATGGGATTCTTCTTCATGACTGTGTTTATGTTTGCGATCGCCATCCCTTACCATCATTGGACATTGGAGGCCAACCGTATTGGATTCATTGTAATGTACTCTCTTACATTTTTCTTTGCGAATTTTGGGCCTAACGCGACTACATTTGTGGTCCCGGCTGAGATTTTCCCAGCCAGGCTTCGGTCAACATGTCATGGGATTTCAGCAGCTGCAGGTAAGGCTGGGGCTATAGTGGGAGCGTATGGGTTCCTATACGCTGCCCAAAGTAAAGATCCAATGAAAACAGATGCAGGATACCCAGCGGGTATTGGAATAAAGAACTCACTTATTGTTCTAGGGTTTATCAATGCTCTAGGAATGGTATGTACATTTTGTGTGCCAGAGTCAAAAGGAAAATCTCTAGAGGAAGCATCACAAGAAACTATATCTACTGGAGAAGCATGAGGTGATCAATTAATTGCTTGGAAAAATCACTTGTTGTATTTTATTTTATTTTCATTTCTTTTGTTGGTTTAATTTCATTTTTCTTTGTATTGTGTAAGCTTGTTTGTTGTAATTTTTAATTTTTATTTTTTTGTGGCCAAGTGTGTTATTGTAATTATTTCACTTCATTGTGAAATGAAAAATGGGTTTGCTATTTATTTATATTAAATAAATCTGTTTGTAATTGAGTGATATTGACTTGACCTTTCAGTTTTTCTTTTATTTTTCCTAAATTTTGTCGACTTATAGGGTTTATTAGTAAAGTACGTAGAACTGAAAATATCAACAATATACACTAGTAGACGGAAAAATAAATAAAACTAATCAATTATTTACAAGTAGTTGCTTCAATCTTTAATTTTTACTGATCGGTCTAAAATAATTGCTTCAATATAAGCTCAAACTATCTTATTAGATATACCTGATACATCCATATCAATTATCATATATATTGATTTTGTTTATACTTTCAAATAATTACGTATCTTATCATTACTAAGAGTTTCCTATAATATATTGAGCAAAACACAATTAGATACATGTATTTTTGCTACCAGATACACTAAAAAGGGGACAGAGATGAGCGAGATTATAGGGAGGGAGATTGTCATGTATCCTAGATACATGCGATCATACTAGATACACACGGAATACAAGTATCTAGAGTGATTCGCATATATATGGGATATCAGATACATAGGAGAGTGACAAGCAAGATGTGAGGGAGGCGGGCGAGATTTGTCTATGTATCCAAGGAATATACGAATCCACTTGGATATAGTGTATCTAGAACAAATTACACTCAATTTTGATCTCATGTATCTCGAGATACATGTATTTGGATGCACTAAAATATGGTAAAATTTGTAATATTATAAATTAAAATGTATCTAATAATTAGCTCCTACACTAATGGAATTTCTATAAGTTCCCTAAATATAACTCCACAATTTATTACTGGAAAATTTGTATGAAATAGTAAACTATTAATTCAAATTAAAATGTTATAGCCATAGTTTATTTTAATTGTAATTCGCAGTAAGCATCCCCTTTTTTTGCCATCTGATTCGGTATACAATTAGCCATTTTCGGTATACAATTAGTCATTTTATACATTTCGATATAAAAAATGTATAAAAATGTGTTTGTGTTTGCATAAAGCGAGAGAAAAATGTATATACAAATACAAATACATCTATTTCGTCCTATACACTTATAATTATACAAATACAGATCTCATTATACAAATTACAATGTATAAATGAATTTATACAAAAACTGAACAATTTGTATAAAATTGAATGTTTGTAGCGAATTATACAAATCAAAAGCTCCATAACAAACATAAACTTTGTTATGGAGCGCAATTATGCAAACTATAGCTATAACATACAAATATGATTTTTATGTTTGTTATATGTGAAAGTTGTTCATTATAGTTCGTAAAGCGTCAGGCCCACATGATTTACAATGGCCCATTGACTCACGAGATTTGGGCTTGGACCAAGTTTAAGAAACACAGGCCCGTGGACTTATTCTAGAGGTGAAATCTCTTCCAATTTATTTGTGGGCCTAATGACTTGGACCAAAAATAATTAATTTAGATTTACGTCATATAGTTCCACTAAGGTGTAAACCACGTTTTCTTGGCCGTGGCCAACCTTCTTTGGAAAAATATCTGGAATTCAGAATTCATTTGTCCAACTAATTTGAATTTATATCTAACAGATCCATTAATTAAGGAGTAAAACACTTCTTATTAAGAAATATTTTATTTCCAAGGCTTGAAGGTTAAAATCAAAATCAAAACTTTTAGTCAAAGATAAAATGTTCATGTCATAGTTGTTAATCATTAATTAAGAGCAAATGAAAAGTTTGAAGTCAAATTATTTTTATATAATTTTTATTTTTTTTACAGACTTAAAAAAAAGTGAATCAAATGAAATTGGATCGAGGAAATAGTATATATTTACGATCAAAAGGTGTGATAGAATGATAAATATTAATTTATATATCCTTAAATAGAAATATTGAGTTTAAGATCCAAGAATGAAGTCTACTTTCTTAAAAATGCTAAAACCACCATAGTTGACTTTTAATTTTATAATATTAAATTAGTCGAATCAATAAATTCAAATGATTAAAAAAAATGTTTTTCCAATACCTTAATCACAGTGAAGTTATTGACAATAACATGCCATCATCACTAAAGATCTTCACAAAAAGGAAAATCTACAAACTGGTCTCCAATTAAAGTAGGGTAGAGATTGATGTAAAACAAAAAAAAAAAGTTGGATGGACCTGTGATTTATCAAGCACTAAAAGTTACATTAGTATAGTACTATTTATTTTTGTTTTTCATCCCATGTACACTACTTCCTTTGGGACGTCAATTAATTGGGATTTATATCATCATTTTAAATGGATTTTGGTCTAACTCATAAGGAAAGACGATTGCTCAAGCCATATAAGGAGTTCAGGATTCTCACACTTCACTGATATGAGATTCATATTTCATTGATCTGTCGCATGAAACTTTTTGTTCACATGGTTCGAACTCAAAATTTCTGATTAAAAAAGTGAAGAGATCTTATTCATCCCACACGACTCTTGGCAATAATCATTACTAGTACTTTTATGATCACTTGAACTCAAAAGTTGTTCCAAATAATCAACACCCAAATCTTCAAACACTACTATATTAACATTATAATTACTCTCATCTTTTACAACTTCCCTACTTATTTTATTTTTCTTGTTCAATTTCCCCTTCCTCATAGAATGTCTCTTCTTAAGAGACACAATAGGTGAACAACCTTCTTCAACATGAAATTTCATTTCATGTAGAGATTCAACAACTCTTTCAACTGAAAAATTCAAGATTGCACTTGTACCCCTCATTGAAAAAGCAGCTTGATCATATGCCAAAGCAGCATCTTCAGCACTATCAAATGTCCCTAGCCATACCCTAATTCCATTTCTAGTTGAATCCCTAATCTCCGCTGCGAATTTTCCCCATGGCCGACGCCTAACACCTCTATAATTCTTTTCCTTTGATGAAGGTGTTGACTCGGCCATGGGAGTACTATTTGCTACTGAGGTGGTAGTGTCTGAGTCAGCTTGTGCGAGAAGGCCATAGAGCAACATCTCATCCGAGTCATTTATGTTAAATGGGAGGGAAGAGGTGTTGAAATTGAGATTGTATAGAAAATTAGAAGAAGAAGAAGAAGAATTCATTGTGTTCTCTCTTGGTTTTTTTTTTTTCAAGAAAGATTTGAAAAGAAGTATAGGTGACTTCCTTGTTTTAGTAGTAGTCTATTATGGGGAGAAGTTGTTTGAGGCTTGATCCTCTTTTTATATCCATATAAGTAGGATGGACCCACAAAGAAAATCTACATTGGTTATATATTTGAAAATTATAAACTATCAAATCAAGTAACACTCAATAAAAAATTGAATTGTAATTAGAATAGGATATATTATCTACTATAATAAAAAAAAATTGATATAATAGCGAAAAGCTTCTTCACACTTTTTGTGTATATATCTTAAAGATGAAATAACAAATTATATCGTATTATCGATTTTAATTTACTTATTTCAATTAAAATATGAAAGTAAAATAATTTTCATTTAATTTCGTCAATTTTGACTAAGAATTCAAATATAAGTTAATACCCTTTCCTAAGTATTTGGTGTGTTATTAGTATCACAAGAAAGTAATAAAATAAAATGAAAAATTTATAAGTGAGAAAAAAGAACAAAAAAAAAGAGTGACCAAGGAGGATGTTTTGGAATTATTTTATGGCTTCTTGTGATTAATTTTAGAGATAATTAAAATAATATGCCAAAAAGGACACGTGGTCTAATATCAAGGCGGCCAGGTCAAACAAGTCTTGAATGATGACTGCAAAACAGGAAGTTTTATTGACTTTTCCTATTATTCTTTTGAAATTCAACTTCTAGATCAATATTTTAAAATATTTATCAAATATCTTAATCAGAAGTCCAAATGAAATTATTTTTGATCCAAAGTATTTTATCTCCAACGTCGTAGATTTTTTTAGTGAATCAAAATTAGTATGTCGGGCCTATAAAATAGATATCGAACATTAGACGAAAAAACAAAAAATAAAAATAAAAAAAGATTTTTAAGTTCTATCCCTACTCTAGGGAATTTTGAATGTTTCCCAAACTTAAGCCACCACATCGTATTGTTTGAAAACTTGGGAATTTAAAAAAAAAAACTAAATTAACTAGAATCTTAATATTTCAATAGAAGGAAGAATTTGGTTTGACGAAATTAAAATTTTTGTTAAGGGCATTCAATACTTAATATATTAATATGAAAATATATGTGATCATTCTTAATTAGAAATTTTGAGTTTAACCCTTGAATTTGAAAAAAAAAAATGGATAGAAATGTTTCGCCTTTTCAATAACCTTGCATACTCACCAATACATTAACACAACAAAAAAGGTTCTTAACAGACCAATACAAATAACAAACCTCGAATAAAAAATTAAATAAGTAATAATGATTTTCAACGAAGGATGTTCAACTAATTATCAGTATTATCATTATAACTACTAGCCTACTACTAGAGTGACATGATGAATCATCAAATTTGAGTTGCGTGTTTTATCTCAATTTGATTTTAGTGATACAATTTCTGGTCCTAAGGAAACAAATCACTTTAGGAGAGATTCATGTGAATCAGTTTAATTAAAGATAATCATAATTGCTACTTCACAGTTCACATTAATATTTTTCTGCCATTTCATAGGAATAGCCTTTAAGCTTTTTAAATATATACCACAACAAATCCAGAGTAATTTTACGAATATAAATATCTGAAAAATATAAAATATACGTAATTTTATTCCTATCTTATAAGATAAATATTATTTTTAATCGACTCTCGACAATTCTCCTTCTTTGTTCGAGCTTGAGACCAACCATATAAGTAAAGCCTCATATAAACAAAAATATACATATCCTGTTGGGTTATTTATATATTATATCTAAAAGTAGTATCAAAGAATAAAAAGGGAATTTGTAGATCTAGTAAAGGATTCATTAACCTTAAGAAAAAAGGGCCATTTGTCATGAAAATGATTTATATTTAAATTGTCCAAATACAGACCCCCTTTAAAAATCAACAAAAAAAAAGTATTATAAGAACTTAGATACCTTTTGAGTTTGAAAAACAGATAAAACTTGTCGGTAATCGATCGATGTTTGTATTAAATTAATAAATTAATATATAATACATGTTTGTATATAAATTTCTTGAATTTCACTTAGTTATAGTTAAATAATAAATATCTATTACTATTTTTGAAAATTATTAATTATAATAATTAATAAGTTAATAGAATTATTTTTAGGGATAAGGGTCTGAAAAATACCCCAACTTTGGTCGGATTTGCTGTTGCGATACTAAACTTTCATGAGGACCTATTACCTCCCTAGACTATTTAATACCGTATTTTTTACCCCCT